AAAAAATGTTGGACACTACGAAACATCCACCCAGAACTCAGATAAACACAAGACTTTGCAAATGATTTCAGTCATCTATGTGCTGTCCATGGAGTGCAGGTTAGGAACCCTGGTCTAGAGGAAGTGTCAGCCTTCTCCAAATGTACTTTCCCTATCCTTGGCCTGTCCGATCATACCTATGTCCCAAATGCAGAAGTCTAAAGTCTAGTTTTCTATTAGAGGGGGAAAATTTTAGGCAGCAAAATATCCTAAGAAAAATGAAGCTAGATACATCTTGGTGATATAAATTGAGGCACAGTAGAGGTAAACTCAATATAAAGATGCAGAGTGGTGGTCAGAAACTTTGAAATAAAGGACAGGAGAAGCCACAGAAACCCAGCAGACCAAGTTGCAGATTAACTGGGCCTTACGCTTTTAGGTAGAAAAAGACTTGTTGATTGTCTTCCTGAAACACTATGTCTCCAGTGATCTATTTCACTATTTCTACTCTTTTTCTTTTTTAAACTTAATATTGTGATAGGCTCTTGACATGCCAAAAAGAAATATATCATCCCTAAAAGCTGTTTTTCTTTAAGCTGAGGCCTTAATTATCTGAAATAGCAGTGATGATGAACTCAACCAAGGGTGGAGACATAATGTACAACTTCTTTTTTGGGAAAAGAACTAGGATTCTTGCTGTCTAAATTTTATAAACTCAGTGTAATCATGTCTTAATTCACAACCACCATTTCATAATATCAAATGATATTATGGAAAGTAAAAAGTGTCAAGTAATGACACTCATATAGAGAAACTTTCTCTTGAAAAGTAATGTATATTAAAACTATTTCAACAATCCCCAAATACATCATTAATGACGCATGAACCATAAGGACCTTCAAGTAGTACATGGACATTAAAATATCACCAAGCGAAGTTCATCGTGGTTATGCATAGAGATTTCTGGATCTCTCATCCCTACAAGAATTGTGATATTTTCCACAATGTAATTGACCAATTTCATATCAGTTTTATAACCTCCATTCATGTCATAAAGAGTACTAGGAACGAACAGGAAACTCCAGGGCTGTTTACTTGAGTTTGTTCTGTATTGCAAAGATCAGATTTCCACTAATCAGATTTACTTAGAAATTATAGCCCTAAAGAATTTCTAAAGATGAAGACATTTTTAGAGAGTCAGTGATTCACTTTTGAAATTTTAGAACTGAATAAAATACATAAGCACTTTATCCTAACGGCATGTGGAAAACCATTTAAAATGGCCAGAAGCTATCCACAATTACTAGTAAAGTATTGAGAAAGTGGCTTGATGTGGATTGGAAATAAAGACACTAACTATCTGAGGTAAGAATGGAGGTCTCATATATTTCCTGTGTTCTATTCCATGTCAGGAGGAAAGTTTCTATTTATCTCTGTGAAATAACGACAACAGCTGATTAACATAAGGAGGAATTTATTAATATATACGCTATCCCTTTAGTGCATAAACAGTTTGGAATATGTTGTTGGTCATATGCATGATTTCATATTGGACAGCCAAAATAATGTCATTTCCTAAACAACACATGCCTTTTTTTCCCAATCAGTTGAGAAATGTTTTACGGTACCAGCAGAAGATTTTACATGAGGGGTAATCTGATTATTTCTTAATTTAGAGCAGCATTTACATTAGCCAATCTCCTAAAAACCCATTCTCAGCCTTTTAATTCACGGGTCTGTGGGGAATTAAAAAAAACAAAAACATACACTTGGCCCCTTTTTCTGACATGGAGAAAAAGGTCTTTGCTATTTTATTTTTAAAACTAACAAATTGGAATTAAGAGGAAAAGTGGTCCAGATACTTATAACTCTTCACATTTCTCTTATGAAATCTTGGATTAATTTTCTCATGTGAAAAATGAGTACTTTCTCTCCGATAGTACTGTGGTTAAGAGCATAGGCTCTATGTTTAAATGGCTTAGCTTTCAATCCTGGCTCCAACACTCATCAGCTGTGGGACCCAGGATAAGTTACTTGCCTCATCTATAAAATGGGAATAATAATACTATCTATTTTACAGGCAGTTGTGAAAATAATGGAATAGTGTATGTAAAAATTAGCATCCCCAAATGTTTGCCATGTTGATGTTGATAATAATGATATTTGAGGTTGAACTTGACTTCATTACAGGGCACTGAGCATTTTACATTTCGATAGTTTCACTTCCCAAACTTTGGAAGTCCTATACTGGGATTCTTGGAGGAAACAGTAATTCTAACTTGCCCACACCTTGGGACAATGGCGGTAGTAGTCCCGACTTTCCTAAATCCCCACCACCCTCTTCCCCCTACTTCTGAAGTGCTAGAATAAGCTGGTAGACCACTGAGTACACAGCTGTGAACTCCCCTCCTTGCTGGGCAATTTTTAAGAGACATGGAAAGCGGTTCCAGCAGAAACAGGCTGAGATAGAAAATACTGGTAAATTGTCAGTATTTTCTAGGACAGAAGGAAGAAAATTAGTTGGAATAGCTCACTAATTGTTTTACATTGATTACATTTTAAATTGATAATATTTTGGATAAATTGAGTTAAATAAAATACATTGATTAAAATTAATTGCATCTGTTTATTTTTGTTGTTGTTATGTAGCTACTAGGAAATCCTAAGTTCCATATGTGTTTCACATTTGTGGCCCATGCTGTATTTCTATTGGACTGCATGTGCTCTGTTAAAATAATAGGAAAATTTCCGAAGGCAACCACAAGCCTTTGCCTTGCCTGACAGTGTCCTTGGTTATTATGGGACATGTGGAAATGATTCCTGCCTCAAGTGAGACCTTGGTGTCGGCCATTTCTGTACACAGCTTCAGTGTGGGCCAATAGTGTATGAAGATAATAAAAAATAGTGATGGTGGTGGGAAGTAGGATAAAGTTACTTCTTTAGTTTCTACAGGTCAGACCTGCTAATGGCAGGCAGTGTCCAACTCTTTCTTGTCTCCAAGACTGTGGCAGGTAGGAATCACTGCCAACTCCTCACTCCCTGCAGGGTCAGTCTTGTTCTTCTGAAGATTAGGAAATGGAGCTGCCAGAATCCTCAATTCCTATTTCTTTGTAAGAGGCCAGCCCGTGCTCAGATACATCCCAGGCTCAGTAAACCTCAGCAGGCTCAATCTCACAGCATCATAAAACTAACTGCTGAGGTTGCCCCAAACCAGGACAACACCCATCCCAGTACCTAAACTGCCTCCAGGTCTCCAGGCAGGCTCTGGCCTGCTGGGTCATGGCAAGTGGACATGCCTAATTCTCCCATCCCTGAGATGGACCAGCCATTCCTGTTATAACCTTGTGCTCATAACATGCACAATGGTAAGCTGAAGAGCACCTGTATATATTTCTGACAGTGACATCAGGAAGATATTTTGTAAGAGGGTAAATGCCTCCTTTAAAGGGATCTCAAAAGCTTAGTAAAGGGTTTCTCCAAGTAACCATCTTTTCCTATAATTATCATTACAGATGTATTATGAATTTTCATGGCTACAGAGTTATGCTCCTAATATGTAAACTGGGAAACCCATAAACTAGAAACTTGTTGAACTTTTAGGACAAATAGTGATCTGAAGTTCTGCAACAAGGATCTTTCTCACTTGGGACCATTATCAATGTCCACCGGGTTGGATACCACATTTTGCCCTTTGAGAAACAGCAGGCAAAGTATGGAACTAGCAGCAGTGAGTGGGGGGTACCACGGGGCAAACTGCAGCTCAGGGAAGTCAGACTGAACTGGCAACCATCTAGAGGTGGAAGGGGCTGCCTCCTCCTCGGGTACTAAGCCATGCTAGTGGTGGTGGTTTGGGGACACTGTAAGGGGCCTTTCATTCTAGGATGGAGAGTTTGGTGGCTTAGTGAGTGTCAAGGCTCCCTATCAGTGGGACTGTACTACTGTATGAGAAACACTAGCCTAGAGAAACCCCTACGCCAGGATTAGGGAAGGAAGGAAGTGGGGTAAAGGTGAAAAGGGACAGGGGAAGTCTACAGACCTTTACAAATTAGGACATATTTTTACAAGTTGCAAAAGATCGTGTGGCAGTTGAAAGGGTAGGAGAGGGGAGGGTGTGAGGAGGCTGAGGCAGAGCTGGGCTGTGAAAGCAAAGTGAGTAACTTACTGTGAAAGGCAATGAACAGACGGCAAAGGTGATAGTCATAATAGCCAGGAGAATGAGATGGTCTGTCTCCTCCGCCATGGACATCCTTTCCCCTCTCCTGCGGGTCGAAGGGCCGCCCTGGCCGCTGCCCAAGGAGGGCCCACAGCGGCTTCTTCTGCCCCGGCGGTACATACGGATGAGGTTGAGGATGACGCTGAAGTTGCAAGCGAGCACCGCGACGATGAGCAGCAGCAGCAGGGTGGCATAAAGCTGCAGGTACGAGGTCCGCCCGTGCTGGATGAAGCACCACGTCCCGGGACAGTACTGGACGTACTGCCCGTAGTTCAGCAGCGGCAGGGAGCAGAAAAGCAGGGAGACGGTGTAGATGGCTGGTAGCACCGCCAGGCCGCGGTGGCGCGTGATGTGGCGCTGGTAGAAGTAGGGGTGCCCGATGGATAAGTAGCGCTCCAGGGCCATGGCGAAGAGCATAAGCATCGTGGCCAGGCTGAAGAACGTCATGGCAAAGGCGAAGTAGGTGCACGCGTGGCCGTCGGGCGCCAGTGCCAGCAGGGTCTGGTTCCTTGCATACGAAGCCAGCACCACCGGGCTGATGAGGCAGGTTCCGAGCAGGTCGGTGAACACCAGCTCAGTAACCAGCACGTGGAACAAGGAGATGGAATTCCTGCGCCCCGCATCACCCCGCCAGCGGCGCGCCAGCAGTGCGAGCGCGATGAGGTTCCCCAGCACCCCGGCCGAGAACATCACGGAGCTGATGGCTGGGCTTTCGCCGGAAGGGAGCCACTGTCGAGTCTCGCAGTCCTCCCACCGGGAGCCATTGGACCTATTGCCCATGGTGGGGTGCCGGGAGGAGAGATGTGTCCTCCACTCCCGGCCTGTACCTGGGAGGAGGAGGATCTGAGTGGGAGTGTCCCGAGACCCAGAAGGAAAAGACGAGGAGGGATCGAAATCCAGAGCCCCCTTCTGGTCCCCAGCACGCACCGAGGGCAGGCTCGTCCCAGGTCTCCCGCAGCTCCCGGAGTGGCGGCTGGGCTGCAGCATCTGGGAGGCGCTCGAGGCTCCTCCGACCCGCGCCCACCACGCGTGGAGGAAACTGCAGCCTTCTCCTCGGCGCCGCCCGGGGGCGTGCTAGGGCGCAGTGTTATGAATGTCCGAGGCCAGCGCCCTCGGGTCGTCAGGCCGCACTGCGAGTCCCTTGGGTGCACCGGCGGAGAGGGGGAGGGAGAGGGGTCCAGGCACTGGTCCCGCGCTTAGCTGGGCAGGGGCGCGCGGGCAGCGGGAGTGGTGTTCTTGGGTGGGATGCTCGAAGCCGCACGGTCTTCAGACTTCCTCTAGGAAGCGCTTATCCCTGGCAGAGGGCTGAAAGGGAGCAACGGGGAAAGCGAAGCGACTCACTGAACAAGAGAAGTTAAGACCATCAGTCTCTTGAGATGTGAAAAAGAAAGGAACAACAGACTCCAAAGACGGTTTGCAGGTTAAGACTAATATATTTGCTTGCTCTTTCTTTCTTTTTTTCTTTTTCTTTCTTTTTCTTTCTTTCTTTCTTTCTTTCTTTCTTTCTTTCTTTCTTTCTTTCTTTCTTTCTTTCTCTTTTCTCTCTCTCTCTCTCTCTTTTTCTTTCTTTCTTTCCCTCTCTCTCTGTTTTGTTTTCTTTCTTTTCCTTTGTTTTCTTTCTTTTCTTTTCTTTTTTCTTTTCTTTTCTTTCTTAACTCTCAGGAAAATACACTAAGAGGGCGGGACCAAAATTGGGAGGAAGTGAAAAGCAAGCCTGTCCATCCAAGGAACTAAACCACACAGGCTACTGAGCTGCCCGTTGCACTGTTGCTTTGATTCGGTGGCCAGCATTTTGCCTTTTCCTATGTCAACACCATAACGGATAACCACTTGTTTAAGCAACCATTAAAGAAAGAAAGAAAGAAAGAAATGTTTCTTGTAATTGTGTAGAATGTGTTTGTGAACACAGCTTTGAACCACTACACGTTGTTCTCTACTCAAGCTCAACCTTGAAAGAAAATGTTGTTTCCCTGTTACTTTTTGACTTTCAGTTAACAGTGCAGGGCCCATCTGGCAAGCACAATTCCTGGTAAAGTTTATGAGTTAAGTGATAAATTGAGAGAGTTGGAGCTGACAAAAATGATTACCTACCACCTATTGTCATAATTGCAAAGTCATGAAAACGGGCTGATATTTAAAACAAAAAAAATCCAGTTTGACAGCATGGGCAATTATATTCTATAAAGAAGGTCATATTCATTTGGAGAAGGGTGCTGGAAGGATCTACAAAGGGAACTGGCAAGGGAAAAAAAGTCATGTTGGAGTAAAGAAAACATTGCCTGCTGAAGAGCACACCTTACTAGAGCCTCCCTGCTCATTGTCAATATCTTACCTTATCTTGATAACTCTGGCTTAGATGGGGTTCCCAACTGGACAAGCTAAGGGGGGATCTATTTTTCTTATATAAGAAGTTCAGGGGTGGCAAACTAGTGGGCCTCCCAGGACTATTTCCTCCAGCCCTGTCATACCCAACATGCTGGCTTTCTATCTACATGTTCCCCCTCCCCCCGCCCCCCACCATGTAGTTACCAGTTGCTGCCTATATCAGTCAAGATTTAACCAGAGAAACAGAACCACTGTGAGTAATAAAGAATAAGAGATTTATTATTAGGCACTAGACCTATGCTGTTCAGTATGGTAGCAGCCATTAGCCACACAGATGGCTATCTGAATTAAAATTAGACAAGAGTAAAAATTTCATTACTTAATGGTACCAAGTACATTTCAAGTGCTCAATAGCCACATGTAACTAGTGGTTATCATATTGGGCAGCTCATATATAAAACACTTCCATCATCACAAAAGTTTTATTGAACCATTCTGCATGAGACCTTACATGATCATGGGAGCTTATGGAGGAGTCTATGCAAGGCTGTTTGCTGTCTTTGGTTCTAGTGTTGAGCCTGAAGTTACCATAGCCTGAAGTTACCATAGCCAGAAGGAAGTCAGGGTAGAAAGCTGGACTTGGATGAGAGCAGGAATAGACTTGGAACCTGCAAGGACAAACTGGAATTCATGAGCTGGAATGCTCAAAGACAGACTGGATCTGCGTGCGTCTCTCACAACCTCTGACCTTAATAATGCAGATGTATTGCAGGAGAACTTGGCACTCTTCATGGAGCTGCACATGCACTTGACTTGGGACCCAGAGAAACTGAAGGAGGAGATCTGGTGGGAGCTGGATTCTAGGTGCTGCCTCATGTCAGCAAGGTGAGCCAGCAGATCAGTGACAGCGTGCAAGAGTTACCACCATGCCTAGAACCCTGCATTGTCTTTCAGAGCATGAAAACCATGACTGCTGCTTTGCCACTGCCTTCCACATTTCATGTAACATTTATCTCCTGGCCAAGAGTAACCTGAAACCATGCAGGATTCTGGAAAACAGATCCTACTTAGCTGAGCTGACATTGTACAAAGTCACCACGCTGCCCTGCAGGTTCAGGCATCAAATCAGCACTGAAGGCAGAGGGTGAGGGAGAGACAGCACCTGTTAGCTTGCTCTCTCTTGTGCCATCAAGAAAGCAAAAGGTTTTCCAGAAGCACCCAATAGACTTTCCTTCATGTCTCATTAGCCAGAACTTGGGAAAATGGCTACCCCTTAGCTCCAAAGGAGGGTGAGAAAGGGGGTATTGAGCATTTTCAGCCTCTTCTAGAGTAGAGGCAGGTAAAAGAAAAGGGTCTGGGAATGGCATTGGGTCTGTCAATGAACAGTGTCTGCTACAGATCTGCACAGTGCATTCCCATCATCTCTTCCTTATAGTAGCTGGAAAGGAAGTTCAAGAATAGTCATTCCAATTCTTTCATTTACATTTGAATAAACTGAGGCTTAGAAAGGTCCAGTGGCTTACTCAAGGACACAGATCTACCAGTGTGGAAGCCAGATTTTCTAATTTAAATCCTATTATATTACATTGTCCATTTAAGGCCAGAATGGTAAGATACCCATCCTTAACACTGCACTAAAACTCACTGGCAAGTCACTCAACACAATTTAGATATTACTTTTTGACTGACACATAGGTAAAATTTGAAAAGATTGCACACTCCCAGTATGACCAAAGATGGAAATGGGCTCACTGTTGGCAGGAGTGTGAGTGGGTTCAACCTTACTGGTGGGAATAGTTTATTATTAAAAATTTTGAATATGCTGCAGCCCAGAAATAATAAAATGTACTGCCCCAAGGAGACATAATCTGACAAGTACACAAAGATGTTACACACACACACACACACACACACGGAGAGAAAGCAGAAGGAATGTTCATTATTGCAAGAATCTAGAATGAAATGTCCTTCCATAGAGGACTGGTTAAATATATTTTGATACACTTATGTGATGGAATACACAGTCACTAAAAAAGATAGGTATCTGTATTTATTGATAATGATCTTTACTACCCATTGAGTTAAAAGCATGCATACTATTCCATTCATATAAAATTATATGCATAAGTATTTTCATTGAACAGCATCTAGTTGGATGTTTAGCAAAATATTAAATGGTAATTTCTCTGGGTATTATTTTCTTCTTTATGCCTGTCTGTTTTGGTTGTTTTTTTTTTCCTCTAAGTATGTATTACCTTTATGTTAGGAATGCAAGGAAACTGCTTTTTGCTTAGAAAAAAATTAATCATTGGAGGAGACTGTCCTACTTGGCTGAAGGCAGGGAATTAGATGCTAATGTTTTAAGCTCTTTTCTAGTTATTTTCTTTAATGAGTGGGACTGTCTTGCAGTTGTTTGAGACTGATCAAGAAGATTGGAGATTCTACCCTTATGTTTTTCACAGTGGTTTGCAACTGTCTTACTTATTTGAAGACTGGAAATAATCACACATTATGCACCATTTCTAATGAGATGATGCCCTGCCCTACTTTGTGACTGCTTTGACATTAGATTCTTATCATCTGTTAGTGTCATTGCTTGACCTAATTCTGACACTGCAATCACTAGGAAGTCCTTCTTTCATAAAGGTGGAAAAAACCCCCACCAACCTAAAGGTCAAAAACAAGAACAAAAAAGCAGTCAATAGAAACTAACTTTGAGATAAGTTCAAAGAATTAAGGGAAATGGTGACTGAGCAGGTAAAAAAAAATATTAATAGAGATACAGAAACCATAAAAAAAGAACCAAATGGAAATTCTAGAACTAAGATGTATAGCATCTTAGAGTTGGCAGAAGAAAGGGTGAACTTGAAGATTAATCACATCTGGTTGCCTTTCTTTCAATGTCATCAGTACTTTTGTGCTCATGAGAAATATTCTCATTCTTTCTATATTCTGTGAAGCTTAGAGAACTCTTGCTTGCCCCATTTCTATCCAAGAAGTGAAGCATCAGTTTTCTATGCCCTCAGCTCCCTCAAACCTCTGAGATTTTTGGCTACAGAGCCACATTATCTAGGAAACCCCTGCATTATCATCTAAGCTCTCTAGGTCTCTTGAAATTCACCTTCCCTTCTTCACAGCCTGTGGAATTAGTTGGGGAAGAAGTGGTGCAACTTTGCTCTTCCTCATCTCCTCCAGTCTAGGGCTCCTGTAGGCCTAGGCTTTCAAAAGTTGTAAGCCAAGAACTGATGCCTATGTTCTGTTAAATTGTACTTTCTCCAACGCAGTAAGCACAGACTGCGCCCTAGCTGCTGCTAAAACCAGGGAAAGGCCAGGAGCATCGAGAAGTCCTGTGCAAAAAATACATAGGTTAAATTAGCGTCCGTCTATCTTTGCATTCACATAGGCATGTGTGTGTATCCGAGGCTTAGTGGGATTTATTAACGGCCTCATGGGATTGTTTGAGAAACAACTTGATTAAGTCTTTGCAAAATCATGAGTCAATAAAAAGTGCTTTACAAATGGATGTAAGACTACAGTTCTCTTGTCCTCAGCCAGGAAATATCAGAAGGGTAAATCTATAACACTGCTTATTCGTGCCAGGAGTTTGATCAAATGAGTTAGGAAGGCCAAGTGCCTGTGATTCTCATTTCCTTTTTTAAGATTGATGGAGGGCAAAAAACCCAATATAATGATGAAAATTCTCTTTTCTTAGGTTTACTTCTAAAGGAAGAACCAACTGTAAGGCAGAAAAGCACATATAACACAAATTTAAGGCTATGGTTATTCAACTTGTTTGTGTAAAGTAACAACTCATTTTAGAAATTTTGGAAAAATGAAGAAAAAAGTCATCTATGAATATAGCCATCATAAATTACCAGTCTTAACATTTCGATGTGTGATAACATTATTGATATTTTTGTACTGCTTTTTAAACATTTTCAAATTTCAAAGAGCTTACATTGCAATATGTGTTAAAGGCCTTAAAAATGTGTGTGCTATGAGACTTAGAAATTGCATTTCTAGAAATCTAGAATCCATTAATTTATGTACTCAGTAACAATTTATTAAAGCATATATTTACTGAGACAGCACAGTATAGTGTTTTTTTTTAAAGTTTATTGGGGTAACATTGGTTAATACAATTATATAATTTTGGGGTGTACATTATAATTT